CTCTTCAGTTCAACACCTGTTAAACCAATTCTTCATATTCGTTCCTCTGTGAACATAAATAGTGAGGTTTCTCTTTTCATGATCAGGACCCTGACTGATGGCTGCAAAATAAGTGACTGGGCTCGTTTGTTGAAGGACGAGAATATGCAGCGAGACCCTCACTTGGGAAAAACCACAACTGGGTTTATAGCAGCAACTTTCCTCTGGTGAGAACAGAGGAGCCTGACCATGTATGATGTGCTTAGTCTGTGCCACACACCGTGCTGAAGGCTTGGCCTAGAACCACAGAGGTGGGCAAAGAGAATCACGTGCACCCAGGTTCTCAAATGTGCCCTTACTTGGACATAGAGTCATCACAGATGTAATTAAGGTAAGGGGCTTTCAATGAGATCATCCTGGATTAGGGTGGCATCCTAAATCAGAAGGTGAGTGTCCTTCTAAGAAGAGGAAAAGACACATACACAGAGGAGAAGGCCAAGTGAAGACAGAGGCAGAGATGGGAGGGATGCAGCCACAAGCCAAGGAAACCTGGAGCCACCCCAGGCTGGAAGAGGCCAGGAAGGAGCCTCCCCTCGATTCTGGACTTCTGATCTCTAGAACCCAGAGGAATAAATGCCTCTTGTTTCAAGCCATTGGCTTTGGGGTAATTTGTTATGGCCGCCCTGGGGGACTCATATGATCACTCAGTGAATTCTCACGCCAAAGCTGTGTTTAAAAAGCAGTCTGAGAACCTGGGGTCCTTTCTGTGGATATCCGGGGTTTTCCCCAAAGCGGGCACATTCTCCATTCTTCATGCTGCCTTAAGGCCTTTCATGGCCACGTGCCTCAGAGCTCCCTCCCTGGTCCTGGGGGAACAAGGGAACCAGGGGTGGGGCCGGCCGGTGGCCTCAGCCCTTAGCTCGCCTGCTTGCCCTCCCTCCCGCTGCAGCGTATCTTTGAAACTCCAAGAGAGCAGCCTGTTTCTGGGGCCCATCTAGTGTGAAGGGGGCAGTCCCAGTGGAGAGAGGGGGTGGGTGAGCAGGCGGGGAGAGTGGGGCACAGAGACTCAGACCCTGCTAAGGGTGAGCCTTAGATGAGCTGTAACTCATTCTATTCCTCTTCCCTGTCACACTCGAAACAGTTTGCTATTACCCAAACTTGCCGAGTCTCTTAGGGAATGCAGCTTAGAATTTTTTCTTCTATTAGAGGCCAATTATCTTCCTTTCTGTTTTTTTTCTTTTAATTATTTTATTGAGATCATATTGTCTTATAACGTGTAAATTTCACGTGTACCTTGTTATATATCAGTTTCTGTATAGACTGTGTTGTGCTCACTACCAGTAGTCTAACTTTTATCCGTCACTGTATCTATGTGCCCCTTTACCCCTTTTGCCCTCCTGCCACTCCCTCCCCCTCAGGTAACCACTAATCTGTTCTCTTTGTCTATGTGTTTGTTTGTTTATCTTCCACGTATGAGTGAAATCATACTGTATTTGTCTTTCTCTGTCTGATTTATTTTGCTTGGCATGATACCCTCAGGGTCCATCCATGTTATTACAAATGGGATGGATCTGTCTTTTTTTCTGGCTGAGTAGTATTCCATGTACATACATACCACATCTTCTTTATCCATTCATCCATTGGTGGGCACTCGGGTTACTTCCATATCTTGGCTATTGTGTGAACAATGCTGCAGTGAACATAGGGGTGCATAAATCTCTTCAAATTAGTGTTTTTGTGTTCTTTGGATAAATACTCAGTAATGGAATAGCTGGATCATATGGTATTTTTATTTTCAGTTTTTTGAGGAATCTCCATCCTGTTTTCCATGGTGGCTGCACCAGTTTGCATTCCCACCAGCACCGTATGAGGGCTCCCTTTTCTCCACACACTCTCCAGTGCTTGCTATTTCTTGTCATATTAATTGTAGCCCTTCCTCAGCTTAGATTGTTAACCTCATACAAGATGAAAAGGCCCACTGCTGCCCTGTTCTCTCCCCCGCCAGGCGTCTGCAAGGCCATCAGAAGGCATGAAATTGCTCCATGGGGTCACCACATGTGCCCCTCTCTGCCCGTTCCTGGGGAGGCCCCAGTGGTGACTGGGCTTGTGGGACAGTGCTGTGTGTGGGTTGGGTGCTGAGCATCCTCCACATTCAGTGGCAGGTGTGAAGGTGCAAAGAAAATGAGAGTCAAATCTGGTTAAGCAGCCCTAGGACGCCATAGAGCGTCCTTGGAGCAAAGCGGAGAAGGCACCCCTCCCGCTGGCAGCCACAGTCCCGCTCCAGGTACTAATGAGACCAATAAACTTCCATGGATCTTACCTGTCCAGGGTTGGCTGTGGGTGTTCAGCCATCCCCATAAACCTAGGGTGGGAATATCTCCCTCACCAGTGGGATGAGGAGGAAGTGATGGAAACATCAAAGCCCCCCCGCCCAAGGCTATCCAAGTGTGGAATCCCTTCTCCAGGCATTGCATGGGTGGTCCCAGCCAGGAACTGAAAGGCGCTTACGTCTGGATGAGAGGTCATTTTCCAAGGGCTGGAAAGGATGATGAAGAGTTATTCCTGGAAAGGAGAGAGGGATGAGCAGGTTCTAGCACAAAGGAAAGGAGAAGGGGTCCTAACAACTCCCCAAGAATTCTGAGCCTCTGGGGCCCCTGCTCAGAGGAGGTGACTTACAACATACTTCCAGAAGCCCGCTTTGCTCTTTCTAGGCTTTCGTCCTCCTGTTTCATAACTGCCCCCACGCTGGGCCCTGTCTCCCTGAACTTGACAGGGGAAGAGAACTTTAGCCTCCTGACCGTGTCTAAAACCCGCTCAGAGAACCTCACCTAGCCCCAAGCAAGCACCTGCCTGTGCCCAGGTGCCCAGGGCACTGTGTGCTTTGAGAAATATCCTTACTGTGACCACCAGGGGGCAGCCGCGCCCAGAGTTCCTTCCTCCGTGTATAGAGACTGGCAGAAAAACTCAGTATTTTTGGAAATATCGGCCGTACCTGGCTACGCTCAACTCACCTCCGGTAGACAGATGCACCAATGCACCTGAGGGACCAATTGCTCCAACCCTCCTGACTCCTTTTCCTATTTAGATTTGTTTTATGAGTCTGCTTCCTTAAAGAATTTACCACTCATCAGTCCGTTCCCAGCTTTCTGTACATTTCTTTTGTCCTCAAGCACTCATAGCCTTTGATCATCTCTCTTAGTCTGATGTAGTATTTATATCGCATGTGTGCCCGTGGAGAAGTCGTCTACTGATGTGGGGTTAAGATAGGGCGGACTCGAGAGTCACATGCGTTTGTCTGCACTCAGCACAGCCTTGCTGGGGGCTCACAGACTGTGGACTCCACAGCAGTTTGCTCTGCCTGTCACATTATTTCTAAGTCTTAGTGTGGCTCCCATGGAATTACAATAGTGTCCTGAGGGGAGACTGAAGTCGGGAGCCGGTGCAAACCATATTCTCATAATTTGCAACTTGGCTTCCTTTTGGCCTGTCTGCATTGTTGTTGTTGGTTTTTTATGGCCTGGCTCGTGTGCTGGGCTACCTTATGTCTCTCTAAGCAGACGTCTGCGGACACAGTGCAGGTGGCATGAGGATCCTTTTTGAGAGGAAATTGTCTGATATTGCTAAAGGATAGCCTATATAAAATGACCAAGTTGAGTTCATGTATACAAAAGAACAAAGTCCGTGAATTCACTAAGTCTTTGCTCTCATGGCCAGTGGCGATTACCCTGCCCTCCCAGCAGAGCCCCGTCGTGCCTTCTCCACCTCACAGGCCCCCAGGAGCCCTTGGCTTGTTAAAGCAGCTGGAGGAGGGGGAGAGCCAAAAGATAGGGAAGCAGAGCTTCTGGGGGCTTCCTCCTTTAAGCAATCAGTGACCTTGGGTGTGTCCTTGAACCTCCCTGAGCCTCCGTTTCCAAAACAGGTAAGTGACAATTAAACAGTGAGTGGTCTGGTTAACTTTCATGGGGGTAGCTCTTCGAGGCCAAAATTCCAAAGAATTGCCCATGGCATATCTATTCTGCAGATGTTTGTAAAGCCATTTGCCTAGCCGTGCCAGGTGGCTCCAGGAGAGGTGAGGTGCAGATGACATTCTTCATGTTGGCTAATTTACTCCCATCCAGGGTCAGCCTTCAGTCTTGTGGGAGGCTCAGAAGCCTGATTTGCATATAGAGAGGGGCCACCTCTCCAGGGCGGCCTCCACAACTAGTTCCAAGAGCCTGAGGAGCAAAATCAGAATTGTAGTCTGCTCTTTTTCAGCGACAGAGGGAGGGGTCTGGCGTCCGAATGGGAGAGTCAGATGAACGGGCTGGTCTCAAGATGCCGGGTGAAGACAGCTTGAGGCAGCATCTCACTGTCAAGCTGGACCTGAGTGTCCATTGGCCAGGACCACAACTGGGGGAGTGCAGCAACTGTGCCTGCTTCTGCCACCGAGACGGGGCAGCCCTTGCTTTAGATGAAGGGTCCCCTCCAACTCTGCTTTCTAGCAAGTGTGGCCTGGGGCTGCCCAGGAGCTCTTATCTCTCCCTAAAGCAGAGGTTATAAATTGGTGGTCTTTGGGAGGAATTCAGCTTGAGGTCATACTTTGTTTGGCCCACATAACTTTTTTTTAATTGAATTAGTTGCCAACATTTAAAAATCAGGAGATTTTAAATAAATATTCCGATTCCTGGCTTATTTTAAGAATGCATAAGTTCATCAAGACTGTGCTGCATTCCCAGCTGGCTGAAAATGCCCGAGTTGAGCAGCTGTGGCAGCAGCCTCCCCCTTAGAAGCGGTGGGGGGAGTCTAGAATCTGCCTCCATCTCCGTCTGCCTCCATCTCCGTCTGCCTCCATCTCCATCTGGGCTTCGCTCTGTTGCTTTCTATCTGTGGGCATCAGGGTCTCTATGGCAGAGTTTAACTCTCCACAGGCAATCTTACTTCCTTATTCCCAAGACTCTGGGACCACCTCATCAGAGCCCCCAAGAAGTAACATCCACTTTCTAAAGGTATTGTAGTGATAATCAGACAACACACACCACAGCTCATGATAAAAGACTTTAATTTTTACAAATGAGATCTGATTAATTCCTCAAAAGTCATGTTGTCCTATCCCCTGAGCACATAAAATGTTAATTGAGATTCTGTCTTTAAAGAACTCAGAACAGCACCTGGGCATAGCAAGCACTCTATGCACATTAAACCAACTTTTAAATATGATAATAAGCATTTGAACATTTGTGGCTCGTAAGAGGTCTGAGGGGTGTGGGGAAGTGAGCTGAACGTCTGGTCCTTCAAGGACAGGGAGGACAAAGCTCATGGGATCTCTCTCTGCCTTAAAAGTCGCAGGAATCTCGGTGGGGGAAAGGGAACTGGTGATAACAAGCCAGTCTGTGTGCCTCTGGGCATCACGTTGTGGCTCACATGCACTCTGGGTCCCTCGCCAAACCTGCGTTCCCAGCCTGCCTTTCCTTCAAAATGGACAATACATGCAGGGAACGCCCACAGGGGCCATGAGATGCCAGCAGTCATAACTGGGCTTCCGGTGGCCCAAGAACCCCCGAGACATTGGGCAAAATTGTCTATGTGCATTTTTCAGGTGGGGGGATCAGAGCTTTCACTAAACTTTCAAAGGACTGAGATCCAAAGAACCAGTTATCTCTAGGACTATAGGAATCCATGCCGGAGCTCGGCTCCAGCGATGTCCCAGCCAAGCCCTGCCTCCAAGCCCCACAGAGGAATCGCTGTCTGTCACATGAAATCAGGACCGGAGTTGGACTGAGCCTGAATTGCCCATCTGAGGATGGCCGACAGTGCTTACATTGCTTTTAAATTTATATCCTGTGCAGGTTTTTAACAACTATGCTTTATTTAAATACCCCACGCTCTTCAGGAATCAGCAAGCCTTAGGGATGTCGCAGAGCCCTAACGCTGTAGATGGCAGCTGCAGAGAAAGGCTGAAGCCTGAGGGCGCACGTTCTCTGTGATGCTCCCAGGTCAGGTCACAGAATGAGGCTTTCTATGGCACCTCCCCCAGGGCCATCCACCACCACCCACAATCCCTTCCCCAGCTGTTGTCTGGGAGGGAAGTTTCTGGGGGAATCTTCTGTCTTATGAGGAGAAGGCGTGCTGAGAGGGAAGCACTGTCTCTGGGGTGAGGTGAGAGGCTCTGCATGAGGTTCCCATGGCTGCTGTAACTAAATATCCCAAACTGAGTGGCTTAAAACCATAGAAACTCAGCATCTTCCAGCTCTAGAGGCCAGAGGTCTGACATCAAGGTGTCATAGAGCCGTGCTTCCTCTGAAATGTGTAGGGGGGGTTCCTTCCTGTGTCTTCCGGCTTCTGGTGGTGGCCGACCATCCTCGGTGCTCCTTGGCTTGCAGTGACATCACTGCAGGCTCTGCCTCTGTCGTCACATGGGGTTCTCCCTATGTGTCTTTGTCCAGCTCTCCCTCTCCTTCTAAGGACGTCAGTCATACTGGATTAGGGACCACCCTAATGACCTCATCTTACCTTGATGACATCTGCAAAGACCCTATTTCCAAAAAAGGTGACATTCACAGGTACCAGGGTTAGGACTTGAATGTCTCTTTTGGGGGAACACAATTCAACCACAATGGTCACATCACCTCAAAAGACCCTGCCACCTCAGTCCCATGTGTTGCCTCTTGTCCACACCCACTTCTTCCCCTGCGCTCTTCGGGTGGTGGGTGCCCCCTTCCCTCTGGTGGTGATAGCTGAGCTTCTTCCCTTTGGTCAGCAGGCTGAAGTGGGGAGTTTTTCTCCTGCATCTCAGTCCTGTAGGAAGTGAGTTCCTTCGAGATTGGGATGTGTGAGTTGGAAGTGTGCATGTCTGTGTGTATGTGTCTCTGTGTGCACGTGTGTGCCTGTGGGTGTGAGTGTGTGTCTGTGTGTATTTCTCTGTGTCAGTGTGTGTCTGTATGTGTTTGGCAGGGGGATTCATGAAGGGTGGGCACAAGGGAGGAATGGGAGGCAGGAAGCCCAGAGGAAGACAGAGCCACAGCAGTGAGGATAGAAATGACAAGGGCAGAAGAGGCAGTGTCCTGTGACAAGAGGGGAGTGTGTTTGTGACAAACGTGGAAATATTATGCCGTTGGTCTCAGACCCGTAAGGTAGGTATATTAATTATGATATTGATTCGGCTACTTTAACAGAAACCAAAATAACAGTGACTCAAGGAAGATTGGAGTTGGTTTCTCTGTCCTATAAAGTTGGAGCTGATGGGTGATCCAGGAAGGTAAGGAGACCCTGCTCCATGATGCTGCCCAGGGTCCCACACTCTTCTTGCTCTGCCACCTGTGAACATACTGCTCATTTCCAGAGTCAAAGCTGGCTCACCACTTCATCCATGTCCCAGCTACTGGAAAAGGGGAAAAGGGAAGTGGAGAATGCCTCCCTTCCTTCTCAAAGATATTGCACTCATCAACCCACTTCTACCAGCCAGAACTTCGTCATGTGACCTTGCTAGGTGCAAGGGAGTCTGGGAAATACAGCTCTTACTCTCAAAGGCCCTGATCTCAGGGATTCTGCTAAAATTAACAAGGCAAGGACAGATATTGGGGCACAACTGACAGCCTATTATAGAAGGAGTGTGATTTTAGAGAAATAGTGTTATTATTCCACCCTTCACCCTTTACAAGAGCCCCCAACCGTATCCATATAATAAAGACTATAAGAGGCCTATGATTAGAAAAATCAGATTGTCAAGTAGGATTTGTGCAGTTTTAGCCAGTTGTGGGGTCATGATGAAGGGTCCATCTCAGGAAGGTATGTGCCTGGCTGTTCCACAGCCAGCTCGTTTTCAATGACATAACACGCCCTGTAGCTCTCCAGAATCCGGGACTGGAAGTACTTCTTGTCCTTCTCCTGCCAGGTGTCAGACTCGATGTACACATTGAATGGGTCGTGGGAGTGCTCCAGCTTCTTGGAGCGGATGTAACTCAGCATGATGCCCAGGGTGAAGAAGCCGAAGAAGCCAAGCACCATGAGAATGTAGAGTGCCTCAAGCTTGCCGTCCTCGTTGCTGGGGGACCTGCGGGCTGGGCTAGACGTGTTGCTGCCCTGTTGAACTGTCCCCTGCCACAGCTTGGCCAGAAAGGGCATCACAGCTGTGGTGTTAGACAGGATCATCCTGGGCTTCAAGGTTACACTGCTGGAGAGGGAATGTCCTGGAAAAGTGAAACTTGAAATCAAAAAGTATGTATTGGTCAAAAGCCCCATATACGCACACACACACACAATTTTTTTAAATCTCATATAAGAGGGTGCCCTAACGTTCTCCTCAGTGCATGGGACGTGCCATCTTGGAGCTGCACAACACCCTCTCTTGATTGATCAGTTGATCAATTGATTTCCTTTTATTTCCATTCACTGCTCCCACTCCCCACGACCACAGGCAACCACCAGAATGAGTTCATTTAATATACACTTTGTGTTGTATGTGTGCATTTCAGTTTATGTGTTGTGGATCAAATTGTGTCCCTTACGCTCAATTCACATGGTTGAAGCACTAACCCCCAATGTGACTGCATCTGGAGGTCTTCAGGAGGTAATTAAGGTTCAATGAGGTCCTAAGGGCAGGACCCTAATCTGAAAGGCCTGTGGCCTTATAAGAAGAGAGAGCAAGATCTATCTCTCTTTGCCATGTGAGGACATGGCGAGAAGGCAGCCATCTGCAAGCCAGGAAGAGAGCTCTCACCAGAAACCTGTCCTCTCTGCCCACTGTCTCCCACTGAATGGCTCACGTGGGCCGTGTGACAGTTTCCCATTACCTTAATCGGGTGTCACTGTCCCTGAATATCCATATAATGGGCCTTGGAATTGTAAAGTTGTCTCCAAGTAGCCCTGGAATTCTGTCAGGGGTTTCGTGTGCTCTGAAACTCCACCGAGGTGGCCTTGCAATCACTGATAAACTAAAACAGGTTTTAGTCATTTTTCTGTTTGAGAAAATGCTGGAAACAAAATCCCTAGGGCCAAGATGATGACGCCACACTCCAAACTCAACCCAGAAGGGGCCACTGAGAGCTGCTCAGACTTAAGTGGGCTTCCTCATTTCTCAAGACCTTCAAGGTAGCAAGTATAATGTACACACTCTTGGGGTGGCTGTTGGAACTAAGGGTAAATGGTATGTTTTGGAGCCTAGTTTCTGGCCAGAAAGGCTGCAGAAAGGGAAATTCCAATGTACATGGCCAGAGGCAGGTTGGCGCTCAGGCTCTCCCAGCTAGGATGGGGACTGTGACATCACACGTTGTCTTGCCCAGGACAAATGTCAGCCTCAGAAACCTACCTCCACTCCAGATTAGACCTGGCGCTACTTCTTCGTAGAATTGGCTTAATTTTCAACCTTATACTGAACCCAGCTGCAGGTGAAGATGAATGGCACCTCCCCCGTCCTCTTCCTCGACCCCTCCCTGAGATGGTGCAACTCAGAGTTCTATCACTGGTCCTCTCTGCTCGCTCTGTCCTCTCTCTGGGTGACTGCACTTGCTCCTTCAGGTTCACCCACCAGGCTCATGACCCCAGGCACCCTTCGGAGCCCCAGAGCAGCGTGTCCAATGACCTGCCAAGGATTCATTTATCTTTACCAGCCCCAGGCTCCTCAAACTTAACACCGAGCCCTCTTGGGGGAGGGTGCTCCATGCCTCAGTGAGCTGTGCAGCAGTGTAATCCCCCCGGAAATCAGAGTCACCTTCGCTGCCAATCCCATCAGTCAGTCCCCAGCTCAAAGGCCTTCCTTGGTTCCCCCCGATCTTTAGGGTGAAGTGCCCTGTCTTCAACAGGATGTCCGCCCTAAAGGGGAGAGGCCCTGCCTCCCTCTCCTGTTCCACTGTGCCACTTGGCCCAGACCCTCTGCTCTAGCCCTGCTGGCCACTTGTGAACCTTGTGCACATCATCACGTCCTTGCATGTCCCCAGCAAGGCTGCCCCTCCTTCTTGGCCCATGAAACTCCTAAATGGTGCCTACTCATGCTTTAAAATTCAGCTCAGCTCTCCCTCCCATCCTGAAGTCTTCTCTGGTGTGTGGGGCTGGGTTAGCACCACCCACACCACTGTCATCAGCTCTGTCCTCCCACCTGGTCCCCCACAGCCTCCCTAGGCCAGTGCCTGGCACACAGCAACATAGGAGCTGCCCATGGACTTCTTAACACCTCTTGATGGCTGGGGCCTGATTCTTCATAGCCACTTATCGAATTAACAGATGCCGATGAGCTGCCTTCCGAGCTTCAGCTCAACCCCTTTTCAAGAAGGACAACTGCCTCCCTCCCAGAACCACAGGCTCAGAGAGCAGGAGAGGAGGGGCAGAAAGTGTTCAGACGTTAGAATTGCTTCTCCTCCCCTGGTTAGGATTCTGGCCCTGCTGCTACCCGGCCACACGATCCTGGTCTGGTTCCTTGGGCCCACTCAGTCTTGTCTTTTTCCCTTCAGAAAATGGGGAGAAACATCACTGGCATTGGCAGCTGTTGGATCACTGACCAGGGACCTAGAGGGGCCAACATAGCGCGTGGCTCACAGTGGTGCACACTGAGTGTCCTCAGCGTAAGCATATTGGTTTTTCCACCTCTTAAGAGCGAGCAGCCCAGGGAGCTGAGGGTCTGGGGTTGGTGGTTTGGATCTTCCATGGCTGACCGCTGTGGCTCTTTCTGTCCCTTGCAGAGAAGCTGGTGGCGAATGAGAAACAAATGAGTTTGTTCCTTTCCTGCCATCTCCGGAGCTCTTGAATCTGTGCCCAGAGATCTGTGAGTGGTTGAGCTTCGCAAGTTCAAACAGACTCCCAGGTACGGATTCTTAGATAAAACCAGCGTTTTGTCTAAACGTGGTTTGTTCTAACCATGGGGTAGACAGGAATTTTTTGGTAACAGTTTCTTTCCTAAAAGCTTAGACCCATTGCTGCTGGTCTGCTGGAAATCACTCAAGACACGAGGCTCCTGGGCAGCTGAGCTTACGGAACACGACGCCCAACATTCTCTTTTTAAATGACTTGAAACCACTTATGAATGATAGAATCCTGCCCCAGAAAACAGACAGAACTTGAGCTTATAATACAATTTTTTTTCCAAAAACCCAAAGTCGCCACAATTGATAAGTCATCCTGCTACCAATTGCTGTAAGAGTCCTTATCACTTAATGACCATGTGAGTCTGGAATTATGGCAGACAACCTCCCAACATTAATTGGTTTGAACCCATAGCTCCACACAGCAAGTTAACTTCAGAGTAACTTCTGCAATGAGTTCCCATTGGTGGGTTCCCTGAGAAGACCTGTTACTTAAATCCAGGTGGACTTTCTATGTCTGAAAGAAGCAACCAGAAACATCGGCTTTGAAAACCTGCCAGGCCAACCATCCTCAGCATTGCTGTAAGGCAGTGGTGCTCAAACTTTAGCATGCTGTAGAATCACCTTGTAAAAATGCAGACTGTGGGGCTCCACCCCCAGAGCTCTGGTCCAGAAAGTCTGGGATGGGGCCTAAGAATTTGCATTTCTAACAGGTTCCCAGATGATGCTGATGCTTCTGGTCTGGGGACCGTACTTGGTGACCTATTGGAATAACCTGCAGAGCTTTAAAAAAATACCGATGCCTAGGGGCCAGCCCAGTGGCGTAATGGTTAAGTTCGCATGCTCTGCATGGTGGCCTGGGGTTTGCAGGTTTGGATCCGGGGCATGGGCCTGCCACTGCTCGGCAAGCCATGCTGTGGCAGCATCCCACATAAAAGAGAGGAAGATTGGCACAGATGTCAGCTCAGGGACAATCTTCCTCAAGCAAAAAGAAAAGATTGGCAACAGATTTAGCTCAGGGCCAATCTTCCTCACCAAAACAACAATAAAAAAATACCACTGCCTAGATCTCTCCTCCAAAGATTGTGATGTTCTTGCTCTAGGTTCCTATCTGGCATTGGGACTTTTGAAAGCTTTCCACGTGATCCTAACTTGTAGCCAAGATTGAGGACCACTGGCTATGGCGTGGGATCTTAGGAAACTGACCAATTAGTCTTTTGTAGTGCAAGGTAACAGGAAGAATTTATAAGAAGAGAAACATGATTTAATGGCATAAATTTCAATCTAGTTTGTTTTTAAGATTTTGGGTTTTTTTTTTTTTTTTTTGGTCTTACTTGTCGCTAATGTGATCTGAAGAAAAGTTGCAGGGAGAAATTAACAAGTCTTCACTGGAACCTCAGCTGCCCCGGTTCTAACTCACGCTGGCACCTTAAATTATAATGAGCCTGTCAGAGCTTCACGCCAGACCAGAAAAGTCAATTACCGCCTTTCAAATAACAATTCTGAATCTTTAAAAAAAATCTTTTTCTTCCTTTATACTTAATTTATTGTATTGCTTTTGCTAACTGCCCTCTGTGCCCCCAAGACCTGCATGCCGGGTCACATGGGGTTTCCATGTAATGAGTCTCAAAATGAGTTTGGCAATGTTCTCTTAATAGTCAGCCTGGTGTAAACGTCACAGAACCCAGACTTCAGGTCAGCCGGCGGTTTATGTCCCATTCTCCAAGTTCACTTCCATTATTATGCCAAGTGCTGCCCCGTGGCCATGGTTTTAGACTCTTGGGCTCCAGTGGATTTGAGCATCAAGTGACCCCACAGTCTCGGCTTACAGAAAACTGGGCTCCATAGAGCTGAGCTGACATGCCCAAGGTCATGTCTCCTATCAGAAACACATCTACGATTTAATCCTCTCACCCGGGACTCACATTTTATTAGTACAGAAAAGGCAGTTCTCAGAGAGAACGGGTTGTGCAGAATAGAGCTGGGTTCTGTATTTAGGCTCAAAGGAACTGAGGAAACAGCCACTTGTGTCAGGTGAAACTGGGTCTACCCTATTGGGCACCAGCTTCTGACCTAAGTATGCCATCAAAGGTGCCCCCCGCCAACCCAGGGAGAACCACAGCTTCCTGTAGCATGCACAGTGAAGAGGGGCCTGGGGGAGGCCGAGGCAACAGGAACCAGGGAGGTCCAAGGCCAAACACCCCCACTTTGACGCTCAGCCTTGTGCTGAACATTCTCAAACTCTGGCCTTGTTAGGCTCAGATAGCATGGGAGTGGGGGAGTGTTCTAGAAGTTTCTGCTTCTGCCTGGATTTGAGACTATTCACAAGGCATAGACACTGCCCCCACTGAAGGCTAGTGCAATTGTTTTCTTCAAAGCTTCAACCCAGAGCTCCTGGTCTGCTGGAAATCACTCAGGATGCGGGGCTCTGGGCAGTGGAGCTGAGCTGACCAGGGGCAAATGGGGACCAGCTGGGCCCCCACCACCCGGGGTTCTGTAAGGCCCTGGCTGCGCCCAGGGGAGAGGGGGGCAGTGGGGACGTCATGCTGTTCCTGGCACACACCGCCTTCTGCATCTCTCCCACATGTTCCAGCTACGTCACCTGTCAGCACTGATAATAGTCTGAAGCTTTTAGAACAATTTCTCAGCGCTGCACATTTCTTTCTTTCTTAGGTATTCACTGAAGGAGTTCAAAGCTTATGGCTGATGCGAAGCTTTCTTGTAAGAGGGATAGGTTCTGGGGGTGAGCGAGGGAGAGGGGAATGTCAGCTTTGGAGCTCAGTCTGAGACAAACCCCAGGCTCCCCCAGGCCTTGGCTCCTTATCTGGGCAGGATGGGGATCACATGCCTGTCGTTCCTAACAGCATTCTTTACTCATTTCCTCGAAAGAGCATCCAGTCTTGAAATGATCATTAGGAAACAGGATTAGGGTAAAAACAATCATGGATAAGCTTAATTTAGGTGAATATGATCTTATCAAGTCAAGAATTCCATTAGCCAACTTTCATTGGAAGCAAGTGTCAACTGTTTTCATCTTTATCACAATATGGTGTCCAAATTTGGGAGATATATTTACCTCCTGGCAGAAAAGCAGCCAGCAGGGGCCCGCAGACCCTTCCAGACAGTTAGCTGGGTCTTCTCACCTTCCCCTCTACTGGGAGGCAGCGAGTCACTAAGGTGGCCAAGGTCTCAAGGAGTCAGGGTGAACCCTGTACAGAGGCACATCTGACTGTCCCTGGAGATATGAAAGGGCTTTCTGCCACCTCCCTGCTGGACATGGGGTGTGGCTCTCGAGTCTGGTCATAGGACCAGAAGCTTCCCAGACCTCTCTGTGGGTGATAGAGTGGGGCTTCGGGGTGCGAATTTGGAAATGCAAACCAGTGAGCTGGTGAAAGAAACCCCGTCGAACTCAATATGGGAAAAAGGATGAGCATTTTGGCGCGGAGAACAGAAGATGGCAGGATTCTCAGACGCTGGGAGGGCAGCTGAAGTCACACAGACGGAGGGCAGATGGATTCTCACCTCCAGCAAATGAAATTAATTCAAGGAACCTCAGTTTCCCCATCTGCAAACGGACTACTGGCATCTACCCTGAGTGTGCCACAGGATTTTGTGAGGCGTGGGACAAGCCCACAGCTTTCCCGTCTCCTGCTTTTGCTATTCTCTTTGTGAGAGAGGCATGACCACCATATCTGCTTGTCAAAATCCTGCTGGTCTTCCAAAGCCCACTGCTACACGAACCCTTGTGTGAGCCCTCATCTGGACATCCCCTCCCCTCTTTACCCCTCATAGTGCCTGTCTATACCTCTCATTCTAACTTGTATTGTAATAATTTGTAGACTGGTCTGGGCATTTCCTTCTAGAATCTCAGGAAAGTCAGAGACATGTCCTCATCTTGTCCCCACTCAGGACCCAGAATGCTTCCATACGGGTTTGCCGAATTAAATGGAAATGCAAAGAATTAGATTCAATATGACTACAATGAGAGCAAGTAATCCATAAAGTACAACACGCTGGAAATAAATTGCTGAGTAACCAGATGAAAACCTCTTTCAACATATTATGTTTTGATATAATAAAATGTAAACTATTTTTATTTGCTTTATCAGTACTATTTATTTTGTATATTAAAATTTACATTAATACAGTTATGTAGGTATCTGCAAGCCACCCTATTCTTAGAAAGATTGCAGGCGGTCAGTAATTTTTAATAAGACAGCATATTTTTCATCCTTCTCCCCCGCTTCCCGGAACCTTTACTCTGTTTTCCTTTCATCACCTCCTGATATGGTATAGTTTTCTTATCAATTGCGGTCATTGCTTATTGTCTGTCTTTCCCACCAAAATGTAAGCTTTGGAGGGCAGGCATCTTTGTGTGTGTTGTTCCCACGTAGCTCAAGGACTAGAACAGTGTCTGGCTCATGGTAGGAGCACAGGAAACATTCTCAGGATGCAGTCACTCGTGTGTGACTGAACAAACGTTACATTAACCACCACAATGGCCTGAAACCACACAGAAACTGTCTCCCCAGCTCTGCCTTCAGAGACTTAAGATGACGGAGGTGATCCCTCTGATGTCTTCAAAGTGAACTTTATTTTCAAAACAAGGCACTTTCTAATAGCCTGTCCAAAGCAAGACATCTCTGAATATTCTGGAAACTGAGAAGGCGGTTCTCAGATCCATCCTCAGCTCACCTCGGGCGAGCAGCCTGGAACAGCAGAGGTGGCAGAAGGCTTTGCCCCCGCGTTAGAAACCCGGAGATCGGAGTCAAGGGCTTTCTGACAACTCACTCATCCCACGGGAGTTAAATCAACGGTGGGAGGGCAGCAAAGCTCCCCACAACCACGACCATGATGACAGCCGTGACCATGATGACAGCTGTGGTTACTGACAAGGCCCTTGTTAACGGAGCTGGGAGCGTCTGTAAACGTGGGCTCAAAAGAAACTGTCAGTTCACAGGCAGCAGACTGAAAACCTGGGGCCCGGGGTAACACAACGGGATAGACTGAGCACACACACATGGCTGCTACTTCGTCAGATTTCTTCTAAAACTTCCACGTTTTCCCCAGTTTCTACACTCAAGATCAGATACCAATAATGTTCTCCGTGTCCCATGCCATTTCCCCTGGGAGATGCCAAGGCCCGAGGATCTTCCTGGTCACAAAAAGTTCCCTTTGAGGGCGGGTGTGTATGCGAGTATTGCCTGAGCTGGAGATCTTTGAAACTAAGTGGAGACCGGGGTCGGAGGCGGTTTTAGTTTTCTTTGGATGCTTTTAGGTATTTTTCAAATTTCCTACAAGAATGCCTGTAATCTAATAATAATGGAAAATGTTGTTATTACTTGATGGTGAGATGTTTTTCCATGCATGCGTTCTATAAGTGAAGACAGGCGGAGGGGAAGGAGGCGGGAGGCTGAGCCATCTCTCACTGCAGGGATCCCGGCGCCTCCTGCCTGGGGCGCCCGCTGCTCGCCCGGGGGCTGAGACCTGGTCCCTGGAGTCCCCTCAGGGTCTCCCGACTGGGGCACTCGCGTGCCGGACGAGGAGGCCGGAGGCAGGAGCCCTCGACTTACCGGGTTTGGGGCGCCGAGAGAGCAGCAGTGCAGCGAGGTCCGCGCTGGCCGAGCGCAGGGCACCGACAGCCGAGCCCCGGGGCGGTGCGCTCCGCGGGCCAGTGCGCGGCGCGGGGCGGGCGGGGCCTCCCGAAGCTCTTGGCGCCCCGCCCCGTCCCCGCGCTTCCCCGCCAGGATCGGGCCCCCGGGGAGACCTCAGTCCAGCCCTGGCCCACCCCGGCCCACCGGGACCCACCCAGGCCCTCCGCACCCTGAGCCCCGGGCCAAGCGCCTTGGATCACGCCGGGTAGGCAGGCGCAGGGCCCCCCAGAAAGTCCGTATTGGAACGGCCAGCCAGCCGGACAGGCAGATCTGCCTTCCTGCAGGAGTTTGGGGCTGGCAGGCAAGAAGCTGGGGCCCATCCGGAAGACACCCTCACCCTCGGCCAAGCGCCGGGACAAACATCCCTTCAAACAGCTCCAAACAGTAGCTTAAAGACGCTCCAAACCCCAGCAGACTCCTTTTGGCTGCATCCCGCACTCTAGTTGTGGCCATGCCATCTATTCGGCAGAACTTACACAGCACTTGCTGACTGGCTCTCCGGCCCCGAGCTGGGGCTGCAGCTGTGGACCAGACAGGCTGGGTGCCAGCGCGCAGAAGTCAGTAGCTGGAGCCACCCACGCCTCGGCACCTGCGCGCCAAGGCCCTCGGGGCGGTAGGAATGGCCTTTCCGGCCGCCAGGGGCGAACCGCGCGATGGCCTGCGTGACCTCCCGGCAAATTTCTCAGCTGCTGCCCCCCGGCTTGGGAGGCCAGCATGAGAAGGCGCGATTCCCAAACGACAGTCCCAGGAAAGCTTCGGGGAATGAGAGCCAGAGTTCGCACTCTGCAGGCTGGTAGCCCAAGAGGAAGGTTCCTGACCTAGAGCAAGGTGACATTCTCTAGCGTCACTGCCCTCACGGTCTTCCTTGGCTCTTCGCTTCTCCTGGGACCTCGACCTCGGTGTTCTGAAGGGAAGGACGCCATTGGAAGTTCTCAGACGAGTCCACTAGGTGTGGCATTCTAGGATTCTTAGTGACACTGGCAAAAGCAGAGCTGGCATTCCTCTTCACCATGGGTGCCGGTATAAACCCACACAGCCACTTTGGGAAGCCCTAAAACGTCCACAGCTTTGATGTGCGAAATCTATTCTATAGAAAGGATCTGAACCATAGAAAACCTTTAAGTATAGAAAGGTTCTTGGTAGTTTTACTGATGACAACGAGAATCTAATTGTTTTAAAATAGAAAAATGGTTAAATTATGGTACATGTGGTAGAATATTTTTCTACTTGCTGCAATATGATCTGCAGTCATTAAGATAACGTCTACAGGGGCGGGCCCGGGGCCGAGTGGTTGAGTTCCCGCGCCCTGCTCTGGCGGCCCAGGGTTTCGCAAGTTCGAATCCTGGGCACGGACATGGCGCCGCTCATCAAGCCATGCTGAGGCGGCATCCCACATGCCACAACTAGAAGGACCCACAACTAAAAATACACAAGTATGTACTGGGGGGCTTTGGGAGAAAAAGGAAAAATAAAATCTTAAAAAAAAAAAGATAACGTCTACAAATAGTTTACAACAACATGAGAGATCCTTATAATGTTAAATGAAAAATACAAGGCCCTAAGTCGCACACACAGGATGTTATGCACTATTTCAAAAGACTGTAAGAAAACATGCCACCGTGTTAATATCGTGTTAGTGGTGGGCTAACATGGCATTTATTTTCTTATTTATATGATTCTGTTTTCCTTTTCCTTTTTTTTTTCTTTGCAATAACTCTACATACTTTAATATTTGGGAAAAAATACATAAACTTTACCTGAAAATTCCCTGGATGCTGCCTCCTCAAGGTCGTGCTGGATGTACGTTGTCCCTTTTTGCCCATCTTTCCACAAAGGACTCCACCAGGAAGGAAAAATGGATGATGGATTGAAGCAAAAATGTTTGTCCTATCAAATGTATGTGTAGCCTTTTCAGTGACAACTCTTGGACCAGATAAACAGGCATGGGACACCCAGACCAGCTGTGGAGGTCACCATCTCCCCTGTTCTGGGTGGAACAATACCTGCGCACCTGTCACCCAGTTATTGTGAAGACAGTGTGTATGGAAGTGTTTTCAAAAAGGTAAAATGTTATGGGAGTGGTGGTGTTCTTATTTCTCTTCCAGGTTCTCTCCATCCCACATATGATGAATTATTTTATTATGATGATTCTGCCGTTGTCATTTCCTACTGTAACGGTAAGACAGATTTGCAGGTGAGAACAAGTGGATTCTGTTACTCTCGGTGAACTTGAAATGGTTTCTTCTTTTCTCTTTCTCTTCCTTCTCCTTCCCCTCTCTCAATCTCACCTCTTCCCATCATACAGGTGAGACTGATCCTAAAATAATCGCAACATCAACAGGGCCACAGCCCACAGAGCCCGTGGGTCATTTCTCTGTGGTTCCTCCACCTTCTCCATTTTTCTTGGTCCCTTCACTGGGGTCTGTCCCATGGGAGAGGGGTGGCAAATGTGGCCTGCTACTCCTCTCAGTGGGTTTATCTTCCTCTTTCATGAGCTCCCACCTCAATGCAGGTGACATCCCACCTCAGTGCAGGTGACATCCAAAGCCAGAGCTCCAGCCACTTCTCATTCTTAGGAAAATCTCAAATCTCAGCTTGCAACTTGGATGCTTTGCTTGTGCTCCTAACCCTGCTCACATGCTGCTGGAGATGGAAAGGCCGCGTCACCAGAAAGGATGGATCTTCAGTGTAACCTACCCAGGATGCACTTACGGAGGCCAGGATCATGCAGACAGTTCTTTGCTGTTCCCTCTGGCTGCTGTTCAGTTGGTGTCTAGATGCCCCTGCATTAGCCTGGGGACCTTCCCTGCCCTTTGGCCCCCTTCATTATTGCTTTTTAACCGCTCTACCCCCATGGCTTCTACTATCCCAATGGGCAACTCTCACTTCTTACTGAGAAACACCTGGAAGGCAAGCAAACTTTTGCTAGTAGCAGCAGAGAATAACCTGGGCACAGTAGTATGCTAAGATTACAATACTTCCTTCCCCTGAGAAGGACAAAGAGGAGGAAGGGCACTGAAGTCGTCATCCTGCCTCCCTGGTGACAGGTGAGGAGGTGCAGAATGATGGAAGAGAGCCCCACTCTGCCACGTGGGGCGTTGTCCCCCCACTGCTGTTCACAGCTCCATCAGCATCCCACGCCAATGGCTTGAGCTGCCTGTGTCTTCTCTGATGGCCATTTGGCTTTCTCAAGTCTCTTCTTTCCCCCTTCCTTGGCCAACATCTCCCCGTCTGATTCACTTGGTCGCAGGAGCTCTGCCTCAGTTTCCTCCCAGGACTCCTCTTTGTCTGGGAGTCCTTCACACAAGAGGCGTCCTTCCCAAACCTTGCAGTCTCCTGGCATTCTCCTAAAATCACCTTGAGGATTGCTCCTGTTCCAAAGAGAACCACCCACAGCCTGCTCAGGGCCCTGCAGGCCATTCCAGCTCCTCGACCTCATTTCCCACAGCTCTGCTCCTCCGAGCTTCCAGACCAGCAGAAGAGGCGCTCCATTCGCTGTGTACACCCTGCCTTTCCCCTGCTCCGGACCCTTCTCCCAGGGGTCTGCCCTCATTTCCAGCTTTACAAACCAGAGGTTGATAATCATCCTTCAGCTTGGGCCTTGGACTCTCTTGAATCCTAGATCTTCAGCAGAGATCGAAGACTAGGGGACACTGGGCAGCTCTGAGCCTCCAGGCAGAAGGTCCATTTGTTTGCTTTAATTTTGAATTAGTTAAGATTAAAAACTTGAGAGCTCTTTGATGAAACACATAGATTTCTGGCTTCTCTTACAAAACTTGAGGGATCTAGAAACTTCACATCCACCTTTGACAGAGCAATGAATGGCTTCAGCCCCTTTCTACCAAAAGGCAAACTAGAGAGTTTGCCACAGGCCCCACCACTCTACATTGTCCCCCACAGGGACATGTGGCAGCCCCACTGACTGAATGTCCTGCCTGGTTCTGTAGGGATTGAGTTGGCCACTTCCATTTGAGGCCATTCCTTTCCCTGACAAACTTTCTGCAAAGCCCCTTATCTGGCTGTTCCCTCACTTTGCAAACCTGAGAACTCATTTCCTCATTGAAGTGTTTTTGTCCTGGCTAATTTGTTGTGTTACAAGTACTTTTCGGCTGGGTCAGACGTGTGTTCTGTTTATCCTTTTAGAGCAATGATTCTTAATTTTCTCAGTTGCTTCTTGGGAATCTGAGAAATGCTATAGTTCCCCCATCCCCACCCCAAATGCACACATGTGCAACATTTTACCTACAATTCAGGAGATTGATGAACCCCCGATGTGCCAGGTGATTCGTGGCTGTCACGTTAGAAGCTGTTGATTTAGGGCAAAGACTATCTTCCATTAAACTCAAGTCTGTAGTGTGGATTCTATGGGTCTCCACTGTGTATTGTGCTCAACAAATGCCACTCAATGTTTCCTGACTGGGGGACTGCAAGATTGCCCATTAAAATAGTCATTAAGGGGCCAGCCCCGTGGCCAAGTGGTTACGTTTGTGCACTCTGCTTTAGTGGCCCAGGGTTTCGCTGGTTCGGATCCTGGGCGCGGACATAGCACCAATCGTCAGGCCCCACTGAGGCAGCGTCCCACATAGCACAACCAGAGGCACTCACAGCTAGAATATACAATCATGTACCAGGGGGCTTTGGGGAGAAGAAGAAGAAGGGAAAAAAAGATTGGCAATAGATGTTAGTGCAGGTGCCAATCTTAGGGAAAAAAAAAACTTCTACCAAAAAAAAAAGGTTATTTAAGCTGCCTCTGGCCAGGCCTTGGGAGACGTCTGCACTAATTCTCGACACCCTTGAGTCACCCATGGAAGAGGATGCCACTAACTATGGACCCATCGATTCAGGCATTACATCTGCCCTTGCATTTGGCAAATAACCACAACCTTAACCTTACTATGAAAAGAGTACATATCCAATTGAGAAAGCTTTTCCAAAAGAAATACCAGGGTTGTTTTTTTCACCCCCGCCCCTTTGCCTCCCTCCGCCCCTTTTTGTCCTGCAATAATGCTGTGCTGATAGGAACATGGATAAATTAATTACACTCTGGAATGTTATTTATGGCTAAGAAAGAACACTAAAGCTACACATACAATGTTTGACGTTTGAACACAAATATTGCCCTTCTGTTTTTTTAAAAAAAACCAATCAGTCTAGTTTATGCAGAC